GCCCTGGTAAGGGATACACTACTCCTATCTACGGACCTGGTGCACATTCTGTACATGTGCACAGACAATGACTTTGATTACTGGAAGCACGTGTCCCAGAAAACACCAAAAGGGGGGGGGGGGGGAGTGTTTGAACAAACCTGAGTACGCAAACCCAAGACAGCATATAGCCTACACGTTGAGTATGGAGACCAGCCTTGACACGTTTTTTTTTATTTTATTTAATTTTTAATTATTATTATTATTATTTTCATTATTATTATTTTGAAAATATAAATAGGCCTACTAGAATTACACGCAACCGAATAACTAAATGCCTTTGCTGTCTTTGCTTTCCTCAGCCCAAATAGGTTCATAAAATATAGATATGTACATACAGAAACGTGTTTTCAGTTTGGGAGTTCACCCCCCTTGAACACAGCTGGGGAGACTGTTGTCAAAGTTTGACCGCAAGAATTCCCTGTGAGTTATTTATAGAATCGGGGGGCACCGTCACGTGACTTGCCACGTGAGTTATATAAAGGTGAAGAATGCTAATAGAAGGTGACATCAGTAAGCTGTCGTCGAATCTTCAGGTAAGTTGTGACATGGACGTAATTACGATTCCTTTAAGACAGCTAAGGGCACTGTGTCTGTAAGCTCTTTTCGACACAGATGTTTCCAAAGCAAAACCAATGAAGTATACACTATTCTGATCTGTAATGCATGAAGAATATGTTTTGGGGACATGCACTGATATGATGCATTCAGTGTTCCTTGCTCCTCTGTGTAAATATGGCACAATTTATTGAATGCAATGCTGTATGACTGAGGGGAGGAAGAGAGGGGGTGTGGCCCTCAAAGTACCAGGCGTGTTAGGGCTACTCTCTGACCACAGGTTCCGCTAGAAGTCGACCCTTACACTTATATTGTATCACCTGTACTTAAATTTTGTTTACGTTTTCAGAGGCCTCTGATACCAGGGGGTGCTTGGCGTATGTGTGGCTGATTTTTTCAATAAGTAATCAAATACGGGGTCTTGTTTTCTGCCACATCAGAGTGATGCACTGAGTGTTGTGCCAACGACGTAAGGCGCGTTCCCAATGAAACTAAATCGATCTACGTAGATCGATCCAACTCCGTGGAAACTCTCGCTGAATGCAATCATATTAACAGATTAATACGCCTCTTCGCGTTGAGTTAAATACATAAAAGCTGGTGATTATACGAGTGCTTTGGAATAAAGAGGAGACTATACTCACACCTGCTTGAAAATCAGCAATGTTCATCAGTTGTGGAAGGTGAATCGTGTGAGTTTATGTAACCCCCGAATTCTTCCATGTCCATATTCTGCACTGTTATCAGCTGAATAAATATGTAAAGGGCGGCCGGGACACAGGCTTAACTACGGAGAGGTCACTGGTCAGTATTCCACACGTTGATAAGATTCATACTTTATATGGTTTTTGTTAATACGAGGATAAGAGACCAGTTTGATCTCTTATTAGTCATGTTCTCTCCCCCTCCCTCCCCCTCCCCTCCTCTCTCTCTCTCTCTCTCTCTCTCTCTCTCTCTCTCTCTCAAACGCCAAATACCTGTTTACTTAAAATGTGTTTATTTGGCACTCACTCAACGTGTTAAATATATAACTATACATTTTGTAAGATTTTTTATTCGAAGAGAACCATTTATAAGTCTTGGGTTACGCCTGAAATATGTGTGTGAACGGCCAAGAAGTTATAACTTCTTGGAACGGCCAACAAGAATGAGTCGATTTTGTAGCATTGTCTCTGAACACAAAATTATCAAGTACAAAATGCTCATACATCTGTATATTATTTTAAGTTAATTTCTATTATTTTAAGTTAATTTCTTATTTCTGCGGACTGAGAACGTGTTTGATTTTGAATCAAAATTACACTTCGTTGATTTGGTGTGTTTTAATTCTTGTTTAAACATTTTAACCCGATTATTATATCAGTTTATTGGTTTCCTAGATACACCACTTCAGACGTAGAGGGTGTTTTTGGGGAAAAGGGCGTATATCAATTGTCTTTTATTTTGTTTTTTATTCAAAACAGAATATATAAGTCACTGATTAGAACACCAAGTTAATAGTCCTATTCGCAAAAGTAAGTAAATTAGGCCTAGTGTCCAATAGACCCCAAGAGAACCGCAGTTAGAAAATAAAAATTGTTAGCGTGACTGTCGGCGTTGTCGGATTGCTGAGTCATTCCTTTGGACAAACGGCAGCAGATACGGGGTTGACAACTGTGGCATGACAACTGGAAAAAGAAAAGATTCAATGGGGCAATGATTAGTACAATTTAGAGTTTTAAGTGGAAGTATCCGGGTCAGAAAAAGAGGCAGACCCAAGACCACATGGAGGAGGACTGTGGAAGCAGAGCTGAAACAACTGGGCGAAAGCTGGGGGACAATCCAACATCTAGCTAGAGACAGAGAGAAGTGGAGGACCTTTGTTGACGCCCTAGACGCTCGACGGCGTAATAGGAGATAGATAGATATAGATACATACCTAGGGATGTTATGTGACCGTGGCGATATGATGATCACTGAAGCCTGTCCATTTAGACAAGCTTCAGTGAAGATCGAGTGCAACCTCGAGCCGCTACCCAAAAATATCTCGCTTCACTCGACATTTCTGCGTAGCATCTCTCGGAAAACTCGGATTTAACCTCGATGTAGTCTAGAATTTCACGGCTACATCTTGGTTAAATCAGTCGAGGTCTTTTAAATGCTGGAAGTCAAAGACCTTCTTGGCATCAAGAGAATAGTGACGTTGCTTGCGTTATATATCTACCAGTAGACAAATTTAAAATCTCTCAAACTCTTAAAAATTTTGCATAAACCTTTCACGTTTAACAATTATTATTTGGCATCAAGAGAATAGTGACGTTGCTTGCGTTACATATCTACCAGTAGACAAATTTAAAATCTCTCACACTCTTAAAAAATTAGCATAAACATTTCACGTTTAACAATTATTATTTATAACTTTATTACACTAAGTCATATCATATGGGTATGGTTTGAAAACGGGAATTAGTTTACATTTAAGCCACACGTGCATACAAATTATTTGTAAATCTATAACTTTTTAACGAGGGTTGTGTTATTTACCTTTTGTTTTTAAGCTGTTCATTCTTCCTCTTTATCAGATATATCGGTAAAAATCAAATATATTCCCCCTTTGAACTTGTAATTACACGTAGCATGCTCCATGCTCTGAAAACTTATCCCGAAACCGCCACGTAGTAAAAATGTCACCAAAACGTAGAATTATTACTCCTGTGGANATATATATATATATATATATATATATATATATATATATATATTCACGTGCACGTTGAGTGACAGTTGGAGAACTATTGTATTATGTTATCGCTCGTGGTGTTAATGCTGCTTGTCATATGTTGTGATGTGTTATTGTAATATAGTTGTACTTGAGAAGTGAGCACTTTGTATCAATCAGATAATTTTGAGATTATGAACATTATTTTAATTTACGCAGTTACTTATTTATTAGAGGGACATATTCTGTTTCTTGGTTTGTAAAGGTTGATTTATTCAAAGGTACTTGTTTCACTTTGATTAAATTGATAAGATAGGTTTTATACAAACAATAAATATGTTAAATTGTTTACATGTTTTCCTTAAGAGCCGAGGACTAAAATATACAGATTCACTAAGAATGATTAAGCCGTAAAAGTGAAAATAAAATTTTAAACTGCGCAGGGATAAAATAACTTGAACCAATTCACTCCCTTTCAAAGTCAAAAATCTACTATTTCTTGGTAAAAATCTTAGAACAGAATAAGCTGGATGAGTGGGACCCTCAATTCTTTTTGTTGTTTTCTCCATTCTTCCGTTTATGATATCACTCATGATACTAATAAAATTTTCTGTTCCTCCGCTGTAGCCCTACCTCCTAAACTGGATGATATGGCAAATCCAAAAGTTAAAATGGTCTCATTCACGCATCTATAAACGTTTAAATTGTGTTAGAGATCTTTGCGTCGGATGGATCCGATGTTTTACCTCCACCCCCCCCACCCCCCAACTCCCCACCCCCACACATACACTTGCTCCCCCAGCACTCTTTAACGTTTGTTGGGGGTGACTGTCTTTTGAGAAAAAAGTATAACAATATTTATAATATTTATGCATGTACATATCACATCTATAACAAATGTATATTACATGCAAACAAAGTATGGAAGTGCCTTTCATATGGGATACATTGCCGTACAAATCTGTTATTTTGACTTTTTACTTACACAAACAGATTGTTTAACTTTGAGTTCACTGGTTTACGCAAAATTGCCTGTCGACCCCCCTCCCCCTCTCCCCTACTCTGTTGATCCCCCACCCAGGGCTTAATTCATATTGAATTTTCGCCAGATATACAGTATTCACAGATCTGTCTCGGATTAATTCATGACACCGTTTTCTACTGGTGCGTTAGACAATATTGCACATAATTAATATGCGGCCCTGGTAAGTGATACACTACTCCTATCTACGGACCTGGTGCACATTCTGTACATGTTCACAGACAATGACTTTGATTACTGGAAGCACGTGTCCCAGAAAACACCAAAGAGGGGGGGGGAGTGTTTGAACAAACCTGAGTACGCAAACCCAAGACAGCATATAGCCTACACGTTGAGTATGGAGACCAGCCTTGACACGTTTTTTTTTTTATTTTATCTAATTTTTAATTATTATTATTATTATTATCATTATTATTATTTTGAAAATATAAATATGCCTACTAGAATTACACGCAACCGAATAACTAAATGCCTTTGCTGTCTTTGCTTTCCTCAGCCCAAATGGATTCATAAAATATAGATATGTACATACAGAAACGTGTTTTCAGTTTGGGAGTTCACCCCCCCTTGAACACAGCTGGGGAGACTGTTGTCAAAGTTTGACCGCAAGAATTCCCTGTGAGTTATTTATAGAATCGGGGGTACCCTCACGTGACTTGCCACGTGAGTTATATAAAGGTGAAGAATGCTAATAGAAGGTGACATCAGTAAGCTGTCGTCGAATCTTCAGGTAAGTTGTGACATGAACGTAATTATGATGCCATTAAGATAGCTAAGGGCACTGTGTCTGTAAGCTCTTTTCGCCGCAGATGTTTCCAAAGCAAAACCAATGAAGTATACACTATTCTGATCTGTACTGCATGAAGAATATGTTTTGGGGACATGCATTAATATGATGCATTCAGTGTTCCCTGCTGCTCTGTGTAAATATGGTACAATTTATTGAATGTACTGCTGTATGACTGAGGGGAGGAAGAGAGGGGGTGTCGCCCTCAAAATACCAGGCGTGTTAGTGCTACTCTCTGACCACAGGTTCCGCTAGTAGTCGACCCTTACACTATTTATATATTGTATCACCAGGGCTCGGAATCTCGAAAGGTTCGCTATGTTGCGCACACGCTCTAGCATGGCTAGCGTGCGCTATCCCGTATCTCGAAAGAATCGCTATTTTGAGCGCCTGCGCTAGCATGGCTAGCGTGCGCTATCCCATATCTCGAAAGCTTCGCAAATCCCGGCCGTGCGCTAATGTCCAAATCGCCATTAGTTTCGAGGCTATTATTTGCGGCGATACAAACTAGTCGCAAAGGCCTCTGCGTATGCAAAATTCGTCATTTTAATGTGTCTTTCATGTAATTAAACATGGTGGCAAGTTTGGGTTGCTAGTCATAATAGCATATAATAAAACATATAACAAAAACATGGAAGCTTTTAATTGATTGAATCACTGGTACCTCTGATAGAAAAACTTGCGGTAAATATTCACGTGAAGAATGCCAAAGTCATATTTTATTATGCAGAAAAATTTCAAAATTAAACATTTCATACATCATTTTATATTTTCTGGTGAATTTCATTCATCTGTGTAGTCTATTGATAATAATAATAAATTTAAAAGTGTCATTTTCCACACAAAATGAAAAAGCAGAAACAAAGCATTCGGCCGCACCGTGACCTTCCTCAATGTCTATTATTGTGAGACTGAACACTACTCACCATTGTGTCAGTAATTGTGTCAGTCCAAGCTTCGCTTATTGAATTGTTTTTTGACATTTTATTGGTGTCAAATACTTCAAATATCAGTATTTGTAATTATGATATTCCTATAAATAAAAACAACCTCTTGATTTGCGTCATGGTGAAAAAAATTGCATTTTGTGTAATTGTGTTTTGACGTCTTCACTTTATGCGGCAATCGAATATTAGTAGAGTTTGAGGTTATAATTGCGTTGCGTCTGCTAAGGCTTCGAGATAGCAGGTGGGTGCAATCGCACTAGCAAATAGCGCACGCTAGCTATGCTATAGCGCGTGCGCAACATAGCGAACCTTTCGAGATTCCGAGCCCTGTACTTAAATTTTGTTTACATTTTCAGAGGCCCCTGATACCAGGGGGTGCTTGGCGTATGTGTGGCTGATTTTTTCAATAAGTAATCAAATACGGGGTCTTGTTTTCTGCCACATCAGAGTGATGCACTGTGTGTTGTGCCAACGACGTAAGGCGCGTTCCCAATGAAACTAAATCGATCTACGAAGATCGATCCAACTCCGTGGAAACTCTCGCTGAATGCAATCACATTAACAGATTAATACGCCTCTTGGCGTTGAGTTAAATACATAAAAGCTGGTGATTATACGAGTGCTTTGGAATAAAGAGGAGACTATACTCACACCTGCTTGAAAATCAGCAATGTTCATTCGCTGTGCAAGGTGAATCGTGTGAGTTTATGTAACCCCCGAATTCTTCCATGTCCATATTCTGCACTGTTATCAACTAAATAAATATGTAAAGGGCGGCCGTGACATAGACTTAACTACGGAGAGGTCACTGGTCAGTATTCCACACGTTGATAAGATTCATACTTTATATGGTTTTTGTCAATACGGGGATAAGAGATCAGTTTGATCTCTCATTAGTCATGTTCTCTCTCTCTTTCTCTCTCTCTCTCTCTCTCTCTCTCTCTCTCAAACCTCAAATACCTGTTTACTTAAAAATGTATGCCAGTGTTAGTCTCACTTTATTTAGCACTCACTCAACGTGTTCAGTATATAATTATATATTTTGTAAGATATTTTATTAGAAAAGAACCTATTGAAAGTCTTGGGATACGCCTGAACTATGTGTTTGTGAATTGCCAATAAGAATGAGTCGATTTTGTAGCATTGTCTTTGAACGCAAAAGTATCAAGTACAAATTACTCATATAAACGGCACTTTTAACTTAATTTCTTATTTCTACGGACTGAGAACGTGTTTGATTTTGAATCAAAATTACACTTCGTTGATTTGGTGTGTTTTAATTCTTGTTTAAACATTTTAACCCGATTATTATATCCGTTTATTGGTTTCCTAGATACACCACTTCAGACGTAGAGGGTGTTTTTGGGGAAAAGGGCGTATATCAATTGTCTTTTATTTTGTTTTTTATTCAAAACAGAATATCTAAGTCACTGATTAGAACACCAAGTTAAAAGTCCTATTCGCAAAAGTAAGTAAATTAGGCCTACTGTCCAATAGACCCCAAGAGAATCGCAGTTAGAAAATAAAAATTGTTAGCGTGACTGTCGGCGTTGTCGGATTGCTGAGTCATTCCTTTGGACAAACGGCAGCAGATACGGGGTTGACATCTGTGGCATGACAACTGGAAAAAGAAAAGATTCAATGGGGCAATGATTAGTACAATTTAGAGTTTTAAGTGGAAGTATCCGGGTCAGAAAAAGAGGCAGACCCAAGACCACATGCAGGAAGACTGTGGGAGCAGAGCTGAAACAACTGGGCGAAAGCTGGGGGACAATCCAACATCTAGCTAGAGACAGAGAGAAGTGGAGGACCTTTGTTGACGCCCTAGACGCCCGACGGCGTAATAGGAGATAGACAGATATAGATAGATCTGGGTCAGTATACAGGACGTATGTCACCTGTACAAAGTAAGAGGGGAACAGACTACGGTTCCTAGCGGACTACTAAGTCCATATCATACCTGTGAGTGTCCCATCGTCATAAAAGGCAATTTGTTGTAGAGGGTTCATCTATGAAGATCAAATATCTTTCCAGAAATGTTATTACATTTACGTTAATTCGTGATGTTATATTAAAGGTAGTCATAGAGAGCTCATAACAGCTAAACCTATTGAGTCCTACAGAGAATTGACCCAAAATCCTATATGGCCCTTTAGAACTTACGTCCTTAATAGGAGCTCCACAGGACGTCTGATAGAATCCCTAAATGTATAGGTCTCCAATAGGAAATTTGCGTAAGGAAGAATTAGTTCAAAGGATTTTTTACTCTACCTGTAATCTCTGAATATTCTTATATTCCTTGTTTGTGTCGTTGATGTTCAGAAAAAATGCTCATTTTTAACTCGGTGATATGTAGCGGTGTCACTACGGTGTTTTCGGATGTCAACTGATATGACCCCAAGCATGATCGAGACACCACTAAGATCGAGCCCTCCGACAGGGGTCTCTTCTGTAGGCTTGTACAAAACGATGTCTTTAATAATGAATTACATATGCATGTAGTTGAAAGCTGGAAGGTGAAATATAAAAGCCACACAGTTCATTTGTATTGTTTATTTCTACTTTTTTTATCTCATTTGGATGTCATCTTGTTGCAAGCTCTTTTTTTACTTCCAGGGTGTCTGAATAATAGAGCTCAGAAAGCAACCAAACGCGACAGAAACGCAGCCATGCAATTCGCTCTGTGTTTCTTTGTAATGGTTGCCAGCTTCCTCACAATTGAGGGTCACGTGAGATGGGTGTGTCCGCGGCCACAAAGCACGAACACGGGTATTAAATCGGTAAGACATTTTTATGTGTCTAGTGGACCACATGGTTTTATCTGCTAAAAAATGGTCATTTTACAAAAGTACCTAGTCTCGTTATTCGCTTAACGTCGGGTAGTCTAGGTGTCCTATTTCCCCTCACTGAGTACTATAATATCCATTATTGTGCACTATTTTTTATTTTTTTTTTTTTTGCCGTGCAGCGCTATTGGTTGGATATCGGTACAAATCTGTCGTTCGGAGGTTTGTTTTGAACTCAAATAATAGAGCGAACTAAAAGAAATTCGCCGTGTCATTCGTGTCCTTGGAGACGCACTACCCGGATATTGTATATGTATTCCATAAAATCACGTCATGTTATGTTATGTTATGTGTAATTCAGGGCCCATGTGGAGCTGTAGACTTTGAGGGGGGTTACATGGATGTGGTGCCTGGGCCGATGACAGTGCGCTGGGAGGAGTCCATTTTCCATCGTGGTGAGTGAGTGTGGGAGATGTGACATCTTTTCGTGGGTATTAACTGCGTTTTGGGCGTGACAGCGTGATTGGCTTTTTCTTAAGACTTTTTTGATAATTTTTCTTTGATAAGTGTGATTCTTGTTTGTTCTTAAAGTTGACTTGTAAGTTAAAATTTGTTTATCTTTTCAACCTATGGCTGTTAAATTGATTTTCGAGTCCCCAATGTCCAACTGATACCGTAGACACATAATCATTAAAACCTACATTCAGTCATATGTCATTTTGCCATGTTGCATGTGAAAAAAACATCACGATGACGTCACGTGTTCTTTCATGATGACATCACGTATTTTTTCACTCCATAACTCAGGCGATGTGTTTGAATTTCATCCATCATAACTGGTTTCGCTTCTCTATTTTAGGCGCCCCGTCTAGCATTCGCCTGATGAAGAAGGGGGACGACAGCACGGCCTGCCTGCTTCTAGACCACATACCCCACAACGACGCCATGGTGGTGAAGTTTCCCTTCACAGACCCTAATTGCAAGGTAAGGAAACCAAGGTAGAACAATCTCAATGACAATCTTATTTTTTATCTATTATTTGTTCAATCAAGTTTTTTCTTTTCTTTTTTCCCATTATTCTTATTATTTTAGTTAAAACTATTATAATTTTATTACAAATTCTAGATATCTGGGGAGCCATTGGGCAAATGTTCCGGAGTGACCCAGGTCACTGTGAACATTCCGGACATCGATTGCCCGGACTGCTATCTTTTACTCACATCTGTGATGACGGACAAGTATGGACCCAGTATGTATACTTTACACAACGCAATCTTGTCTCACCTAACGCAATACATGTTTTTTTCCTCCTAATGCAAACATTATCTACCTTTTCACATCAATACACTGGAACTTCTGAAATTCTGACGACGTTGAAATCTTGTGAATTTCCTTTGTTCATTGTGGCAGCGCCGTTTAAAAATCTTCTAGATTTCTATTAAAATTGTAGCAGCGCCGTTTGAATTTTTACAATTTTCTCTTAGCGTCATGACAGCGCAGGTCAATGATTCAAGGTATTCGGACAGTTGTTACAACGATGTGCAAAGCATTCTAGAACGCTGTGATAAATAATTTTCACTTGCACCGCCAACCCACAAGGAGAACAAAAAACTTATTCATTTTGTTTTATTTTACAGCTACAGCCTGTTCTCAGTTGACTAACGGCAATAACAACTGCAGCACCTATTACACCTGTACTAATATAAAAATCAGGTATGGCATGCATCACCTTTAAATAAAACTTGTGTGTGTGTGTGTGCGTGTGTGTGTGTAAACATTTATTTATTTATTTATTTATTTATTTATTTATTTATTTATTTTTCAGGCCCACGGCAGCAGGGGTAGGCAGGGACATCAGTACATGCACCAACTACAACCAGAACCTCCTAGGAGCCTGGCCATTCATGATGCCTAATAACGTGTATTACGATGAAGGGCACAACTACAGTCCCGACGGCTGGTTGACTGGGAGCCAATTCCAAGGGGCAACAGCCACCTACCCTGCTGCCATCTATAACTCGGGCCCATGTGCTGCGCCCAGTAGAACGTTCGGGGTAGGGTATTGATCATGTTTAGCCTGTGTACATTTGCACGATTTGACTACTTTGCTTATGCCCTGAAT